TTAACTTTTTCCCAAATTTGCCACTGTTTTTCTGTTTGAATCCTCTGTCTGATAGGATTTTTTCCTCTGCTAGGAAAGATAAGATTTTTCTTCTGCTTTATGGAAAATACACAATTTCAAACTCTCTCTGTTCAGCATCTTCATAAAAAAACCTCACTTATGCAGATGAGCCCTTTTTAAGCACTGACTGTGTGTAATGCACTTTGATCACATAACTGCTTTCTATCCCTGAGTATACAGCTCTTTATGAACATAGGGAATAGCATGAACAGTGGGCAACTCCATGGTAGTTTATTACTGCAGGTGAACATACTACAAATGTAATGGGGAAAATCCTACTATGACAATCACAGTGAGACAATTCTCTGTATTCAACCTGACAACAGTGGCATCTGATGCATTGTGAACTGTATCCAGTCTTCTAAATACGGGACTGCATACAGCTCTTAAAAACATCTGAACCATTACGAGAAGTTTTTGTTTCGTCTTGTTTTGGTAAAAGAGCTCTAATTCAACCTTCCTAGAGGACTAAATCAACATGGTGTCTGCCCTCACAATACAAGCGTAAATTACGCATAAACAAAAAGACAGCAGAAAAAAACCCCACCCTGCAAAATCACTCATGTTAAATAGTATACACATTAAATAGTATACACATTAAATAGCATACACATTAAATAGTTTACCTAGCTTGTCATTCAGTATATTAACTTTTTTAAAAATCTGATTGAGTTTTTTGCCTAAGGTGATTTTGCCAAAGTAATCCATATATTCTTTAAAAGCACAATTGCATTGCTGAAGAGTAACCCAATATCATTTGCAGTAGAATGCAATTCACTAAAAACCCATAGAATGAGCACTTACCATCACACCTGAGAAACAGATCCCTTCAAAATACCACACGTAGCTGGGGAGCTGGTAACTGGCTGCATGCAGAGCTTTCCCATTCGGGAAGTACAGGAGGATGTTCACAACAATACTCCAAAGTGCAAGAGGTATCAGCAGGCAACTCAAACAGCTTCCATATGTCTCTAAAGCCATCTCTCAAGAACTTTGGAAATTTTGCTCTTCTAAGCTAACAAAAGATTACAAGATTTTAAATATAAAAAGTGTTTTGACCTCCCCAGCCTGTTTCAGTCATTTCATATTCACAGGAACCAGTGACCGGGGTGTGATTCCAGGGACAGAAGTGCTTAATAGTTAGCTGAGCAACAGATGAATATTGCTATGTAAACTCACTGTCCTGTCTAAGCACGTCTTTAAGTAGCCATTTCCCTTCTAAAAGATCCTCCTTTGTGATCTTCCAAATGAAATATATCTAGGAGTCAGACTCAGGAAGGAAATTCAGAGCTCTCATTTCCTAGTGACTGCTCAAAAGTGCCCTCCTCCGCCCCAGAATACAAACTGTAACACAGACAGTTTGTGACAGAGGCATGTTGTTCAGCCTCAATGCAGCATGGGGAAGGGGTTGTCAGATGAGAAATATTCAGTCTCTGTATAGAAGGCCACACTTTGCCTCACACAACAGATTTAGTAACAGAGCCCTAAGGGGGAACTTGTTGCTGACTTGGGACAGTCACCCAGAAACACCAGGCTGAGTCTGGGCCATCGTGTAGAGATACAGGAGCCCAAATAACCCTGGTTAGAAACTGCCAGGCAGACTTACTGTCACACTTTTAATCAATTACTCTTTTGCACAGCATTACGTGACTCAACTGTTTTTCAAATCAAATCCTGCTATTTCTCCAATTGTTTCATTCTGTGCTTACAGCTGAGCTTGCACAGCTACAGACCTAACCTACGTACACGTGACTTCTTGTGCAGGACAAAAGGTCTGGCTGTTTTTTCGAAATGCCTGCTGTTTGCACTGTGCAAAGCCAAAGTCACACAGCTTCCCCATTGTCACGTGTCATCATTCCCTTACCCCTGAGCAACTAAACATCTATGCCAGTAACACAGAGCTGGAGTGGTCTGAACACAGCTTGACCCGAACCTTCAGTCTACACCCCTGTGAGTCATCAGAAAAGCAACTCTAGAATGAGCTTAGGCTTTACTCAGTAGAAAAGTTGTAGTCAGAGAATGAAAAAATGAGGCTCTATCAAATGCAGGAAGGCTGATTTTAGAAGCAATGATGTCACAATACATTTTCCTTCTGTTTCCTCATGAGCTGTTTCAGGCTCCGCACGCACGAGGCTTCTCACATCATCTCATAAAAGCTCTTTGGATTGCATATTGTAACTAATACCATACTACTGCTTTGAATGAGATCACACAAGGAAATGGGCATGGTGGTACTCACACAATTACACTGTTTTTCTACCCTTCTCTGCCATGACTCTCCTCTTTTTCTAAGAGGTTTCATTTTGATCTTCCCATATCTCCTGTTTTACTCTCTAATCACTATGGACACTTCTTTTCAGGTCTCCCTCCAATCATAAGTAGTAGCAAACCTGCCTTTTCAGACTCACAGGCAAAGACAGAACTCCTGTCATCAACACTGTGCCTTACACAGCAGAGAAAACAGCTGCATTAAAAGTACACACATCAAATCTTCATGACTGATCTTTTATTAAAAACTCAGAGATCATGTAACAGGCTGAAATATTTTTTCCTAAAAGCAGAGGCTAAAATTAATAGTAAGCAGCTTATTTTATAATGAAATTTGCTCCTACTTCTATTATAAGCTGTTCTGATTAGAAGAAACTAACTTGGGAAACAATGCCTGAAGCAGCATTTGTTCTGCAGTACAGCAGTCCACATCACAACTTAGTTTGTATTCAAACTGAGCTCTGCAAATACCAAATCATAGTGTGGTTATTTTGCTGGTACACAAAACCACTAGAATAGGAAACAACCATTCTATACTAAGAATTAAGCAAATCTGTAAGACAGTTTCTCAAATATCTTACCAAGTGTTGCAAGCACCGCTTTCCTGTTGCTGTCATTATCCATGAGTTGATGCCAAGACTGTTACTGAAAAGTCATGTTTACTCTGGATGAGTGACTTCTCTGCCAACTGAAATGAATACAACCTAAACCAACTGCTTCTCCACAATATAGTTGATAAACCTCCCAAAACACTGTGTTAGGCACCAGGCAACAAAGGAATCCAACTGGCCTTTTTTTACATAACAACATAAATAATGAGTAGCAATGTTGTGCATTAATGCTACATGGATCTGAGTTGAAGTTTTAAATCCTAACCTACCCTAACCATTCCATCTATTGCAATTTCTAAAATTGTTTCAGTTCTTTAATTAATTGTGTGTACCAGAAAGACAAATAACCATTATGCAAGCATAAAGGCAAAAATCTCTGAGTTGCATGGCATTATACCTGGTTCCACTGGGGATCCTCTTCTCCGCTTCTCTCCTTCCACACCCATTTAAACTTGCAGATATTTTTTCAAACAGTGTTTCTTCACATACAAAGACACTGTTGCACAGCTGCAAGGAATTTTGTGTGTATACACTTGCATGCACATATTGTCCTTCCTTCCTCCCATAGCAGAGCAAGACAGGGATAAATACAACAAACAAATGTCATTAAAATTCTCAACTACTTCTATGTATTTAGGTATGAATAAATGCTATTGCAAAAATCATGTATCCTGAGATTCTAAACACAAACTCTTCCCATCTGTGAGTTCTTTTGCTGCTGTGGATGTGTGTGTACAATTTTGTTTTCACAGTTAATTTCTTTTTTTCAGATACTCATTTGTACAGGGCAGACTCGACTGTGTGGACAGCCTGAGATACCTCTCAAGTTTCTGTCTACCTTTAAAGACTATCCTCCTAGTTACAAATGGCCAAGGATGCACTGACACCCATGGGAGCTTTTCTCCCATAAATAGAAATCAACTTGCCTCTTTTCAAAGACAGCATTAACAGCTAAATACCAAAAGTGAGACTCATTTCTCTGAAGTAAATAACACATCACATTTTGGTTTTCACTTGAAAATTGCCACTAACAGCTGCATACTGATCTTGCCAGCAATGCTGTTGGCAGCACGTTATTCAGATTTACTTGTGATAAAACATTCACTCTAATATGCTACAAGCTATACCTCAGAGGCTCTTGCCCAGTAGCTTACAATAATGCCTCCAGGCTGCTTACTGGTGAAGTCAGGTATTTCAGATTAATCTGTTTCTGCTGACCTGAATTTGGACTGTATTCCCCCAACACTGTGAGGCCTGAGGATCTACTGAGTGAGATAAAAAACAAGAGTCAGGCCCACATTTTGTTTTGTGTCCTGTAATGGAGCAGTCAGAAGGTGATCCCCCTTAGGGGGGAAAGAGGGGACTCACAGCTGGATTCAGCTGCAGGGGGACCCCTTTGGGAACTGCCAGCCAGGACTAGGATTCCACATGTGTGGCTGTATCTATCACAGAGCTGTTGCTGAACCCTTGTTGATTCAGCTAAATGAGCCAAACCAAGCAGTGAAGCAGTTCCACTCTGGCAGAGCCTGTTGGAGAGGAAAAGCAGGTTATAACCTGACTGCGTTATATCCACATTCTCATGCCACCACTGTCCTTTACTCCAAGACCAGGCAAGCAGTGTTTCAGCATGGGCAGGGAAGGAATCATTGACACCTGATGGGTATTTTTAATACAAATCTTTATTTGTGAAATACAGGGGAAGTTCAGAAAAATCCTGAAAAGGTGAAGTGCATGTATCTACCCAAAACCCAGTATTCATTTATATCCAGGTCAGACTAGATTTGGTTTGTGTTCATTCCAAGATCAGAATGAAAGAGCAACTTTATTGGGAAAGCAAGATAAAGTACAGAGCCATTGTGTCAGTATAAAGAAAAAAAATAAATAAAGCCTCTTTAGTGATGTGTTCAGGCAACTGCCTGTACTAAGATAAAATGAACCAAAGAAATTCAGGATACATTTTGCCTTTAAGTACAGGCAGGTTAGTGACAAACCTGCATATGACTCCCATAACAAAGGCTGGTCCCAAGTCAGTTAAATTGATGGCAACAGCACAGTTTGACAACAATGTGTATTTCAGTATGCATGGAATGTTTAAAAAAAAAATCCACAGAATACTCATTGCATTACACACACGCACGGACATCAATGCATTGTCAGGTTTCTAGCAAACATATGTCTGCAGGGGGAACAAAAAGAAAGAAACATATTAACATATTAATGGAAAGAATGCTAATATTGTGTCCCAAATATAAAGGAAAAAATTAACCTGACCAAATTTAGACAACCATAGCATGCCTCTTCTGTACTGCATTTAGACCATGGAAGACAGGAGGAAGAAGACAGTAATAGCTTTGAAAAAACCCAACACTCAACTATATCAGTTAAAAATGTGAAACACATTCTTTTCTACAATGTGTGATACAAATGATATCTGGTTCATACCTTAAGCCAACACTACCACTATGACACTGATTTTAACAATATGCCCAAACTGTTTAACAAGGCTTTAAAGAAATTTGGAGGAAATTCCCTTTCCTCACTCCAAAAAATCCACCTTCAAAACATCTTCAGACCTGTCTGAAGATTTTATTAGCTGTAAAATTTAATTCCTTCTCTTATCTTACTTTTACTAAGCAAGGTCAGGATGCTGCAGTTTTCGTTACATGCAGCATATTATCAGTAGTTTATGAGCTGCTGTGGGCAAAACACGAGGCTAATGCAATATAGTTAGAGCAAGCATCACACCATGCAACCATGGCTTAGGCAAAGACCACAACCTCCAAGAGATCAGTGTCTCAGTTATATCAGCTATATAGTGCTGATGAACACATGTGCCACTGGGCAGACAAAAGCCTTCCAGCTCCTTGCTCCCATGCAGACTAATGTCACTGTGAGAGCTGAGCAATCAGCTGAACGCACGTGGCCAAACACTACATGAAAATGCTAAACACAACTGGGCTATAAAATCTGTTGCACAGGGAACTTGTTGCTTATGAATATCTAAAAAGTAACTGCTGAGTAAGACTCCACAGTAGCATCAGTAATAATACAGTTTCATGTTCATCCGAGAAGCGGGGTTATAACTACAACCGACTTACCTCCTCGTGACTGCACAACCCACACAGTCCTCCAAGAATGCCATTGATTATCTGCACGAAGCACAGAATGAACTCTATTCCTCCCAAGACAAGGAGGATGGAAAAGAGGGTGACATTCCACTGCACGATGTTTTGAGGTTCTTGACATTCAGACCACTTGTTATACTCAAACAAGTACCTGTAGACAGCAATTAAAAGTGTATTAACATTGTGTCAGAGTGGATGCTTACCATACACTAGAACCAAATTACGCCTAGTCTGTAACTGCACCAGGGATATCCACTCCAAGTGAGAACAGAAAAATCAGTGTTTATTCCATGTGAAGTTTCACAGAATCACCAAATATGCTGAGTTGGAAGAGACCCACAAGGATCATCGAGTCCAGCTCCTAACCTTGCACAGGATTGTCCCCAAGAGTCACACCATGTGCCTGACAGTATCATCCAAACACTCCTTAAGCTCTGTCAGCCATTGTACCACTTCATGCTAACACAAAGCAACTTCAGAAGCAAGCCTGACAAAAGACTCTCACACAAATCATATGCCAAATTTCATAACAACCACTATTCATAGGTTGAAAATCCCTCAAAATCATAAAACTTTATACTTTGTTAGAGATGTTCAGGGACATGAACAGTATATGATGTATAGATTTAATTATATATATATAATATATACATAGAGTATATAATATATATCATACACTATATATATATAATTATATTTTTTCTATTGATTTGGTTTCATATTATAGCAGTGTGGGTAACTGATGCCATTTGTTTCGCTCTTAGTGAGTGAGAAGCATAAAATTATGAATGAATCTTGATATATCGTTACTGGTTATTGCTGAAAGGTACTGGAATAAAGCCCACGTGTACGTGGGGTAAGATATAACATCCTCAAGAACAGACAACTTACCCTCCAGAGGAATCAGTGAAAGGATAGATCCAGTTTCTCTGTAGGTGGGTAAAACAATATGGTCCTTGAGACAAGCCCAGTGCTGAAATGATTATACAGTACCCAGAGCCAAGGATCCCAACAAAGGCTGCCAGAACCGAGGACAGCATCTGCACAGCAGACAAACATGAACTTTCAGCACAGCCATCGTCTTGTGTTTGGGACTAGCCAGGACCGGGGTGTACAGGCTCACTTACCACACAGCTCTTCCCACAGCCCCCATGGCCAAAGCAGCCACAGCAGTCCCCATTGTGCAGCCCAATGAACACTGCAGCTGGAATGAGTACCTGGGTATGGAGCAAACACAGCGTTCGTTTTGGTTGCACAGAGAGGGCAGATAAAACACAGTCTCACACTGCATTCACTTACGTTACTTCTTGATGGTCAGCCTGTACAGGTGATTCAGCTTTACTCCTATTTAACACAGTAGTCATCTCGCCAGGATACCCCAGGACAGGTGTATTTCTACTGCCACTTTGTTTATACACAGCATTTAAGTGCAGAAAGAGCCTGCTGATGTATTGTTCCATTTAAAGTATTTCAGCTTTGAAAGCTTTTGTTCACATTTAAGGCTGTATCCTTTGCAAAAGAAGGCATTCGCTTTCTGCTAAATGAGCCTACAAGATGTCTCAATTATTTATCTAAAAACCAGCTACTGCCAATATACTAGTTACTTAAGAACAGTCATCACTGCCTGTGTGACAAACCAGTCCGACTGGTGTAGAAAGTCTAGCAATATTTTGCCCAATTCAGGGAAACATCTCATTACAGACATCTACCTTTCTCCAAGTTTTCACAACCAGTTTCCAGTGACAGAAATGCAAAGTAACAGAGCAGAAGCTATCTGTAAGAAACATAAATTATCCATGCTCCAGAGCTTTTAGCATAAAGTCAAGAAGGAGCAGAGCTGATTAAAAAGAGGATCCTCCCACCAGCACAAACAGCACTTTATTATAGAGTCCACTTATAAAGGATCTACACCCAGGAGTACTCTGGAAAATCATACAGGAAGAGTAAAGAGTTACCTGCAAACTGCACAGACTTATTTAACAAGAAACTAAAATAAGAACTATCCAGTTGAACAGACGCATACTTGTCAGCCCTTACTCAAACCTACTGCTGAGCCCCAGTGCTGCAGGTCTAGAAGAAGTTGTACAAGTGTGTCGCAGGAGCAGTTCCACTGATTTCACTTGTATTATTCTCTTGTGTGAAGCCCAGTCTTTGCAAATCTCAGTCTAGGTTCCAATGGGACTGTAACACACTGTAAACTCCTCTCACTACATAGAGCACAATTGTTTTCAACCTGTGATTTGCAGATGCCTTAAGATCACAGAATCACAGAATGTTAAGGGTTGAAAAGGACTTGTAGCCTCTTTCTGAGGCCTTTTAAAAGCAGATGAAAAAGGAAGCCTGGAGTCAGGGGAGTTAAATATGCTACAATGTGGTCCACAAAACTGAAAAGGTAGAAAATAATAGCTTCACATAAACAATATCATATAATGAACATACTCGATTCTTCATTCTTTGCTGTTACTCAAATGCAAAGCTTTGACAACTGCTACTCGAGTCCTCTGAATAGAATCATGAAATCAACCAGGCTGGAAAAGACCTCTGAAATCATCGAGTCCAACCCTTAAATCATCAAGTCCAATAAGTAGCTAAGGCAGAGAAATAACTGCCAACCTCTCAGACAACAGAAACTAAGGAATTGTAAGTAAATGCTAGTTAGTTAGGGAGATTTAAAAGGACAATGGTTCAATAACCAAAAAAAAAAAAAAAATTAACCCTTTATGCAAACTGTGGCCTGCTGAGAGGCTTGGCTTGCATTTGGATTCTGTGAGCTAGACCCTATGATTTTTTTAGCTTTAAACTGACATAATCTTGCAGATAAGATAACCAACAGTAATTAATAACACCTCTAGGATAATATAGCTAATTTTTTTTTTATACAACTACAGAGTTTTCTGCTGATGAGATATTTGATGAATTATTTAATGCAACTGGTAAAAGAAGAGCCGTACCAAATAGCTCCAAAATAAACCTGAAGAAAGCCACCAGCCCATTACTTACCAGAAAGCCTCCACCTAGAATGCCATGAAGGCACTCTACGTATTTGCCAAGGTGATGCTCTGAAGCAAATCTTGTTTCGCCATTGGGAAAATAAAGTAAAATGTTGGCCACAATGCAGAGCAGGGCAAGGATGAGCAACTTATAACCAACACATCTAGCACACCTTCCAAAACACATGTCCTCAGCTTTACAAATTCTCCTTAGGTTGGATCGGACTAGTCAATCTCATACCTGTCCACACCTAAAAGAAGACCAGTGTTTATTCTCACCTCCTTAAATACCAGGGATTACCTTAGCTACCTGGATGACGTTTACAACCCTTCCTAACCACCCTTCCCAATTGCAGAGCGAGGGAGCAGGGACGGCAGAACGCCACCGCCCTTTTTAAATGCAGTAATTGTTGATGAACCAAATGCAATCAAGGAAATATTGAATACTAGGTAATTTCACTTTAATATATGATGCTTGAAATGGTCACCGGTGAACATGATTAGACGTGAACAACAGGCTTAAACCACAACACAAGTTCTGTTGGGAACTGAAGAAAAAAAGTTTTGTTTTCTTTGTTAGAAGAAGCTTTGAATTTTAGGTTTATAGACTGATTCAGAACAACCTGAAGCCAGGGAAAGACTGAGCTGACATCAACAGTACTGAGTCAGAGTTTTGGGTATAAACAGAATGAGGTCTGCAGCAATGAGCAGTACGCAGAGCAATCTCTCACTGTGCTGTCTTTTTGATGGAACAACAGCAAACCTCACCAGGAGGTTAGAAAACAAATAAAATGAACAGGTAGGCTTCTAAGGAGTGTCCTTATTCTTGCCATTATAAGACAAGCTGAATTTAGATTAATAGCCATTTGGTAAGGAGCTTGGTAATAGCTGAACCACTGGTGAAAAATGCTACTTTAAAAAAGCAGGATTATAAAAGACAGTCCTTGCACTGAAATATCATGTATAGAAACACACACAAAAAAGTACCAAGAGAGAAACAGATTTTATCAGGAATTTCCAAAACATGTACCAGTAAGATTAACTTGCATAGTAAAGAGAGACACAAAGTGACCTATAAAAATTAAGATCTAGTCTTTTATCTTTTCCCTCATGCAGATTTTGCTAAAATAGCCCAAAGTTTTCTTCTTCACATATACACAGCTCAACAGAGAGATGTGAGCTGTCATGCCCACTCCCATCACATGACAAGAGGTAAAATGCACAGGCCCAGACTAGATCTAGGAGGTGCTGCTGCTGCTACTATCATCACAGTACAACATAATTCTCACTGCAAAACCAGAAGTAGACAAACTGAATTTGGGAATGTACAGGATATCATAAAATTATAGTGAGATTTTTTCAAAAACACTCATTCAGGTTCGGTTTTGGTTTTTTTTTTTTTTGGGGGGGGGGTGTTTAACAGCTAAATAACACAGTAAACACAAGCCCAAATCAAATCCACGGTATACTTGCAAGAGATGTGAGCCACACTTAAGCTGAGAGAGAGTGTACAAAAAGAAAAGGCGGGGGGAAGGGGTGGGGAGAGAGCAGCCTGGTGCAGCTGTGGGCCTGTGATGTTTGTTAACTTCTCCGGGTATTGTAGCTGCTGACCTTGGAGACTTCCTTCATCATGAGAAATATCCTCCAATTGTAGAAACACGGGCTGGCCATTATTGTGCACCTCACCTCTGATGACTAAAACAAGCATAAACATTAACCTGCAAGTTTCCTCTGCAGAAGGAGATGGCTGCTCAACTGAAAAGTCCTTTTATTGTGTTACACTAAAAAAACCCAAACCACTCCTCCACAAAACACCCCACCCAATACTCTTCCTCCCGCCTCAACAAGCAGAGCGTACAGATGGCCACAGGGACATAGATTTAAAAATTGTTCTATTTATAACCTACTTAATGGTTTTCTAAACACTTGATTGAAATAAAATTTTACATAATCAAGAATTTCCTATATTTAAAATCAATGCTATATTTAAAATAAAGCATATGAGGCATTGCAGGCTGCAGCTAGAACCAACACCCCTCCAACAATAGTAGTTCATATAGATTACAAAAATCTTGAGCTTTTTTACTTTGTGGGCCTGTTTGCTTCATAAATCCTAATTTTACTGCTTGGCAAGTTGAGCAGCAGTGGATTTTTGGAATGCATTGTGGGCATATTGAGTTTTAAACTACGAAATGTACTCACAGACAAGCAGTAGGCAAACACAGGCTTCTGAACCTGAGAAAGAGCAGGGCCCAAGGGCAGCCTGTGACATGCTCCAGCACCATCTGAGTTTACACTAGTGTAAACAAAACCAGAATTGGGTTTTGAGTCTTTTATACAAGAACCACAGAGTTTGCACTTGGAGAGGTGAGATAATTGCGTACACCCTCACATGTGCTTCCACATGGCCCATGGGAAACTCCACTGTTTCTCTCTCACAGGACAATTTCTGTAGCTCTGATGCCTACCACAGACAAAGAACACATATTAAAATCCAGTACCCAGTGTTATTAAATCCAACAGAAGTCTAGACTACATCCTAAGTTTAGATCCTAGGTCCAGCCCTCAGCTCTGGCTTAGAAGTACCTACAGCAGTGGTACAGGAAGGACAAGATCATCAAAGGGGCAGTGAAGCAATTTTGATAGCACACTAAGGTCCAGCAGGTAGGACCACTGCCAAAGATTTTCCTATCCTCCCCTGGCAGGACAAGACGGTTCATAAACAATTACAGCAACTGGTTTGTGTCCCCAGGTCATCAACTCTGCAGGTTAAAGTCTGTCAGCAGAACAGTGCTGCATAGGGCAGGACACTAACCCTTCATGGAGAGAAGTGGCTAAAATTAGATGCCTTGTCCAATTATTGAGGTATCTAATACCAAGGCTATTTTCACATGGAAGGATCCAGCAGCCCCTCTATAAAACAAACCCCCCACCTCAATAGTCCTTGTTGCTTTGGCTCTTCTGTTGCAGCAGGAAGACAGAAGTCTACTTCTTTCACAAAATGGAGATGTTAGAAAGAAACTAGTGTTTCCTGATGCCAAAAAGCAGAAGATCTCAAAAACAGTAGAAGAGTTCTCTACATTAAACTTGAAAAGCTGAATATTCTCCAGCTTTCTGTATCAGCTCCTCAACCAGCCCAACAGAAATAACAGAAATTACTTTCTCCAGCTCAACAGTGTATTGGAAACACTTGCTATATTTTTGGACAAGTCCTAAGTTTACCTATTGTAAAGAGGAGCAGTTTATCAAAAAGCCCCTACCCAAACCCCACAAGACCACGGAATTTTATCAAGAAAAAGAAAACTGGGAAGTATCATATTTCTCCTACAAAAGTAAATGACAACCACATCTAGCACCTCCACCCTGAACGAGATTCCCAAAGGGATTTCATCATAATCAACAGAAGAAAGTGAGCTGCAACAGCAAAGAAAAGTGCCACACAAAAAAAGTTGATACCTGAACTCCATTAGCATATTTTAGTGCCAACAGTAATCCTGGAAACACCTACATCCCTCCACTAAAGAGGAAATCAAGCAGGGCAGGAGGAAGGCTATCTGCAAAATAAGTATCCAGTTGGACAGACTGCCCCAGCCCCATGACACCAGACAGCATGCTGTCAGCAACAGAGTCAAGCAAACCAAGCTCAGTTTCCCCGGCTGGACACTGGGCTACTACATTTGAACCTGCTGCACATTGATGCTGTAAGACTCCTGTGAGCTGAGGATGCCACAGAACTCTCTTTCCTCAGCCCTCTGCCACATTGTCAGGACAGTCTGGCTGTCCTGACATGGAAATTAGATTTCTATAGCTCAGCTATGCCAAGTCCCCAGCACTAAGCTTGTTAATCCTCCCCAACTCAATGATTTGTTGTTGGTTTTTTTCTTTTACTATTTTAGCACCAGAACAGGTTCTCATTCCTTATAACTAGACAAAGGATAAAACATCTGCATCAGTGTTTTCCAAGCAAATATAAGCAAGCTCCTGAGCTAAAGATGCCAGAAAAATGGATTGAAAAACATAACGTGTAACAATGTTCCCAATAGTTTCTTCTAACACACCAAATGGTCAGTCCTACTGCTTTACGCTGCCTTATAGACAACCCTGGGCACAGTTTGCTAAAAGACAGCAGTCAAGAGACACAGCTGAAACAGACACATGACATGTCTTGAAAACAATGCAAAGAGAGAAACAAATAAGAAGCCTTGAAGCAAATACAATTTTTTTACATTATAAAACCTGATCAGATGTGAATCAAGGGGACCTCACTAACACCACTGCCATTTGGACACCCTATGCTACAGCTTCTACAAGAAAGGCTCAAAATTAAACTTTTCTTGCAGAACTTCTGGTCCCACCCACCATCAGTAAAAGGTTAATGGAGGGAAATGCTTCTTGTGAAAGCACTGGCAGGGTGTGGTAACCGTCAGGCATCTGCAGATGAGACACAGTCATAACACCAAGGGCTGCACTGATGCATTTGGAAAGACTGGGCAACACAATGTGTATTGACAGAGGTTATGAATTCTCACTTGTATTCCCTTGTAAGCCATTCTCATCTGTTCTTTTACTGTTTAGTAGGTGGCTGCTCACAGAGGCCAATACTAGCTCAGACAACTGCTGGGAAAGTACCGGCAATGTGCAGTCACCTGTTGGCTAATTTAAGGGCAGGCTCATGGCCAGCTATGCAGGCAGAGCTTTGGTGACCTTAGAACAGCCCTGACTTCCTTTGACCCGTCCATTTCTCCATGTCCAAGTGATGCATTGCCCATGTTTTCCAGCCATCATCCACAACAACACTATGCTGTAGCTGTGACTGTCCTCTCCACCTCCCAAATGCACGTTGGTTGCCAAACTCAACCTGGACGGTCATGAGAGGAAAGTGCTCCCCATGAAGTCCTTGGTGCCTGTGGTCTCCTGGCCACAAACAGAAGAAAGTTTCTAGATTACTTTTATTAATTACCTCACAGCTCCTCAGATCAACTAATGAGCTACTTAATGAGTACGAGCAACCACCTGTTGCCACGAGCACATGAGAGCAATTGTCCCTCACACGGCTGTAACATGCGTGTGCTTGCTTGCTACCTCTGCCACCACTTTGAGAGAGAAAACTGATCTGAGCCACAGAAGTCAGCTTGGAGTGACTGCCCACACTTCTACACAACAACACGCATTGACACATACAGAGAAGAATTAATTTATTAATAACAATGCTGACCTAAGAGGAGTCAGCCGTGATGCAACAAAAGTAGTTTTGACATTTAACCAACCAGTTTGGAGACTCAAAAGCTTACAATCAGGGCAGAGCTACAACTAAATGAGTGTACAGAAATTCCTCCCTCTAAAGAAGAACCCATAAACCTTACTTAAAAACAACTATTACTACCATAGACTTGCAATGCCATGATCAAATAAACCACTTCAAAAACTGTTTTCTGGTGACATACAAAAACCATGCTGTAGCCTGCATTCATTAATTCTTACAACAGTGTTATGATGATAAAAGTAGGACATAGGACAATCAAATGGTATTTCTATTTCTGCCACAGTCTGTGGGCAAAACCTTGGCCATGCAAAATAGCCAACAAAAGTTTGTTTCCCTTGTACTGTACTGTTTACACACAGGTTTGCATTTTCTGTTTCTAGTCTATCCCTAAAAGTGTGACATTCTTGCAAAAATTAAGCAAGCATGAGGCTTTACCATCACTGCATCACCATAAGCATCCTCTGCTCTACAGTGTATGTTTGCTATAATGGCTGTATGGATTAGAAAATTGGCATTAGCTCAGCATACGATCTCCACATAGCCCAGCATGATGAACAGAGTCTTCAGACTCACTACGTGCCACTGGTGTCTCCCACTCCCTGCAGCCACCTGCACAAACCAGGTATCCAGTAAAAGACAGCCAACTGAGAACATGGAACAAAAAATACCATGATTATGTCTTGGCTTTTGTGGTACTAAAGTCAGACATTAAGCACCTTTCTGTTTCTCATATAGTGATCCTGTGGGTAGTGAGGCTACAGGCTAGCAAAAAAAAGATCACCCCTATCATACCACATATTTAGATCTGTAGGCTCAAAAAAAAAAGGGAAGAAAACAGAAAAATCAAGAAATTCATTCCCCGTTTTGTTTCTTTAGCATATGCTTCATGCATTGCTCACACAGTCTTGCCTCTGGAATAAGCCATTAGTAAGTTCATATCAAATTTTTTAAATGATTCTTGCTGAACAGTCCCACAACTGCTGCTTGGCTGAGAACAGTCTACGTATTGATTCCATAGCAGAAGGATGCAAAATTGAATGTGTAAACTGAACGTGTCTTTCACCTTTGCATGACTGATACTGCAGCATGCTGCCTGTCCTTGCCTATCCTTCAGTATTGGTAGTAGTTGAATCACAATGAGAAAAGCAAATCAGACATGACCACAAGACTTTTGAAAGATCATTTCCTAAACTTCAGTCCCACTCTTCCATGAACCTTTGCTATCATCATTTCAGTTAGGACTCTGAAGTCCACTTAACATACACACTGAATTTTTGCTACCAGCTGGTCCTTAAAATGGCTGTCAATCACAAAGCCAACTATTTCTGTCATGCTCCTCCAAGTGGTCCATCGAGACCTCAGAAATGCTATACAAAGGTAGCATACATATTTAATAGGACAGAATTATTAAAAAACCTCAAAACATTATTAAAAATTATTCAAAAAATAACCCCTCCAACAATTAAAAACAGGTTAAATAACAAATCAGACCACCGAAGACGCCTTTTCACTTGAGCAAAGTTTAACAGAGAAAAGCAGAAGAAAATACCATTTAATGTTGATGATGAGTTAATTAATTCTTAGTCTTTTTTTAAGGTAACATACTAGAACAACATAACTGAGAATTCTGTGTGTAAATCTGCAAAACACCTGTTTGCCGTATGGTGCCTGTACTAGACACGGTGCTTTAGTGCGGCTGCTCCTTTCACAAGGTCCTTCAGACTCAAAGATGTGGTGCCATTCTAATGAACCCCAATTAGCTTGGAGGGTGGGGATAGACTAAGTTCCTGAATTAGGAGTTTTCCTTTGTACTATAATTACAGCTGAAAGTAGTCGTGTCAGTCGTGCACCAAAACACAGAAGTTAATGCTGCAGAACTACAGACGTGTTCATTCCAGAGCAGCGTTCCCTCACACTGCCTTCTCCTCTGGGGTCGGGTCCTGCCCGCGGGACTTTCTGCCAGTGCTCAGAAGACGAAGAGTCCCAAGAATTCCACCAGCTCCCTCTAGTGATAATTAGGCTGCGACTAAACAGGTTCTGCTGTGCTCGCTCGTGCGTCGCTGCCTCCCATGACCTCTGGCTCTCAAATCTTCCACAGCAGCTCCTGAAATACCATTTTCAGGTGACAGGCACCTGCCTACGGCAGAAGGCGACAGTGCTCAGTAACAGCCCCTGGTGGCACAGCAGCAAAGGCACAAGGCACTCTGCAGCAACAGCAACTGAACTAAGGCATCATGCCCTCCAAGACAAATCTGAAGGCTTTGGCAGAGCCGGGTTTGGTTCGTGTACTGGTTCCAAAAGAGAGCTCTTCCAATAAGAGACTGATAAATGGTAAGGTAAAAAGGGAAGTAAACCAGCTTTCTTTTTTAACAGATCTTCACAGCAGACAAGTAGTCCCGCTCTTGACTCGCCATAAGCACAAAGTCAGAGGAAACAAAAGAAAAATACTGGAAGTTTCCACTAAAGGTGAGGACAAAAAAACCAACAACTTGACAAACCAAACCACCACAGCCCTTCCCTAGTGTCTGCGCTGAGTCACAGGGTAGTTTCCTCCCAAAAGGCAGGCACTGTCTGAGGAAACTGCAGCCACGTCAACAGTGGCACTTGCCTATAAGGCCAAACACCTTGGGGTTTTCTGTGTTAACTCTCCATTAACTCCCAGGATTTCCATCAATTACACTCTGCCCTAAAATGGAGACATAGGCCTTACTAAAGGAGCACTACTTAGGGACATACAAAGGGCTCAGGGAAAATTAAGATGTGGAACCATTACAATTACAAAGTCATTACAGCATTTTTCATAAGCAGACTTTGTAAGTGGGTTGCTGATTAATCCAGCCTATGATTAACCTGCAATGAATATAAAAAGATTATCACAACAGAAATGAGTTTCCACCCAATTTTCATTACAATTTATTATTATTAATTACTAAACTGTTCTTAACTCATGAGTTTTCTCACTCTTACCTTACGACTGTCTCCCCCATCCCATCGAGGGGGAAGTGAGCAAGTGGCTGTGTGGGGCTGAGCTGTCAGCTGGGGTTAAACCATGACAAGCTTCTAAACAGTATGTTGCTAAGTAACATACACAACAAGATTCTATTAAAGTTTATCATTAGTAACTTGGTCTTGATAATTCTGGGATTCTGAATGAATAAATGTTGCCAAGGCAGAATTTGGATTTTGTTTTTAATTAGTTAAGATTATAAAACAGTAATCCAAGAAACGTAAGACATTTCTACTTTTCTGTCAAAATAAAATGAAGATCTAGAGCTTACAAGCTCATTTTGTGAAGAACTCAAAGGTCTTCCTTAACATGGTAAATTATGTTTCCAAAGAGCAAAAAGAAATCACCAGTGGTTACAGACAAGAGTTCTATACGTAGGGATTTTACAGGGTACACAGATGTCAGGGCTATGTAACCTTGCACTGCTAATGGAGTCACTTTATCTTAGTGATAAGGGTGTCACAGTAGGTTAGAAGTCATGGGAGACACTTTTGTCTTTCTTTGCCTTAAAGAAAAAAGGCTCGACTATGACCACAGCATCCCAAGAATACTTCACCAACGCTGCATTTGCATAGTTGTGCATGGACACAAGGCTGACCTGCTGAGGCTGGTGAAGATGTGCAACACCCTCACCTTCTGGACCAGGCCAACACACGTCTGTCAGCCTGTCCTGTCCTGGAATCTCACATGTGCTCTGCAGAATGAGAAAACAGGCAGAAGAGGCTGGAACTCCACTGCTGTTCTCCTGTTGCACAAAGAAGGCTTTGTGTGAAA